GATGCCTTACTTGGAGTCGGGAGTGGTGGCTCACGCCTGTAATTCCAGCACTGTGGGAGGCCGAGGTGGCTGCATCGCCTGTCAGAAGTTGGAGACCAGACTGACCAATATGGTGAAGCCCTGTCTCTACTAAAAATACAAAAATTAACCGGACGTGGTGGTGCATGCCTGTAGTCCCAGCCATTCGGGAGGCTGAGGCAGGAGAATCGATTGAACTCGGGAGGTGGAGGATGCAGTGAGCCGAGATGGTGCCGCTGCACTCCAGCCTGGGTGACAGAGCGACCTTCCATCTCAAAACAACTACAACAAAAACAGTTGTAGAAAGCTGTGACTCTGTGTTAATCCTTTTTTGCGTGTTTGTTTTTCCTGATCTTTAGGAGAAATTAAAAGTGGATCTCTTCAATTACACTGTTTCCCTGCCTCAGTCTTCAAGAGGGAGTTGATGTGGTTTGTGAGGTGCTAAAATCCCGGGCTTTGTTCTAGAAAACATTCTGGCTCATCAAGACCCACCATGAATGGATGCATATGTGGTCACCCCTTGTCTCTGCTGCTTACATGGATAAAATGTGAGTAAGAGCAGGCAGTCTGAGGGGTAGGAGATTTTCACTTTATGTATTCCTTATTACCTCAGACCACACAAGTGTGGATGTTAAAAATAGTCACTCCCACAGATACATACTATTTCTCTAGCACCACAGCCTCTACTTCGAATCCAGTCGCTATGGGACTTCAGCTCCCAAATAATACTTGCTTCTAATTTTTGGCCATTGCCATACCTTCTTTCCTGATCTGGCTTTCTCTGCTGCCAAGACTCTTAGATTCAAGAAAACGCCCGTATTGAAGCATGGTTTAGGAGAAGACATATGTAGAATTAAATGATTCAGACTTAGAGCTGTTGGAATTTTAACTTACTCTAAGGCTTGAGAGGAATGTGAGTTACATAACATGCAGTCAAGTAGCATGCAGCTGCAATTTATGCTTCTCTGATTATAGATTAACCTCCTTCCTTATTCTTCTCTGGTAGATAATTAGGAAGACCAAGAGGTGCCAGAGACAAGACTCCCTCAGGTCCTAGCCCTTTTAAGGAGTAACAAAGTAATCTTCCTGGGGATGCAGCAATCTGTAACCAATCAAATCACTGTAATGTGTGCACTGATTTTGTATGGCAAATGTTGTAATACTGCTAAAACTTCTCTGTTCTTACCTTTTAAGTGAAATCTTAACTTCTCCATTTCAGAACACTGACCCCATTTGTTTGGAGTTAGTGTTTTCTGGGTGGTCATCCTCAAGCTTGGCACTTGAATAAACTCTGTACCTAATCATGTTTTCTAAATGTCATTATGTAAGGTCGACACATTAGTGTGATGGAACTTGTACCTCTCCTGAGAATCAAACTTTTCTTTCCTTAGTATCCCAAGATTGTTCTAGAACGGGCGACATCCTAGTCTGTCTTGCAACTGGAATCCCATGGAATCCAGTTGCAAGACAGACTAGGATGTCGCCCGTTCTAGAACAATCCCACAATTTTCCTGAATGTCTTAATTTGACTTTGCACAAAATTCAGGCCCCAAATAAGAAATATCCTGCCAAATATTGAAAGTAATGGCAAAACTGCAATTACTTTTCCACCATCCTAATACATTTCAATCTCAAGAATTTTGGCTGTAAGTGTTGACTACATATTTCTCCCTCCAGTGGAAGTTTCTTGGACTCACCCTTTAGCTCCTATATTTCTATCTCCTACAGTAATATAAAATTCCGAAGTGAAGGATCCCAGAAATAGCTCTGATTGGTTGTCCATCAATAATTCTTCAACTCACATTCACAGCTCTGTGCCATATTTTCCACCAATGCAGTTATTTCTTTTGGACACAGTACTTCCATAAAATCTCTGGTCAGAATGCAACATGTATCGTGGAATAAGAAATGCCTAAGGTCTGAGCACAGAGAAGAAGCTCATCACACTGACATGGAGATCACGAGTCATAGAAGAAATTTTGGTGGAAGATTGCCACAGATCAGGGATTTGGGCAGTTGGAATATAGGTGCCTGGGCTGGGGCTTACCCAAAGTGAAATGGAAGAACTGGTGAAGCTTGTCTTCACGTGTTCACTGTTCCACTTCTTGTTTCCTAGACTTTTTTCTCCTGGTTTTCCCCCATACCTCCACAAACCCCTATCATGTGAGCTGCACCCGGCAAAATCATAGAGGTGGAATTGCCTGAGGCCTTGAGGGCCCAATCCTAGCCCAGTGTGTCCAGGAGGTGGCACATGGGGTCAAAAGAGATTATTCTCTAGCTCTAAAATTTAATGTCTACCTGCCTTGCTGAGTTTTTGTCTTACTTGGAGCCTGTTATTTTTGTTGGGAGAGGGAGCATGGAAGGGTGCTCTTTCTCACTTCTGGAATGGGACTGTCTGTCTTACGCCTGTATCGCCATATGCCTGTATCACCATTGTATCTTAGAAGGTGTCACCTTATTTTGATTTTACAGGTTCACAGATGAGACTCTGGATTTTGGACTACTGAGTTGATACTGAAACCAGTTAAGACTTTGGAATTAGAGGGTTGGAATGGATGTATTTGTATGTGATAAGGACATGAGTTTTTGGAGGGCAGTGACAGAATGTTCCTGATATTCCAGTCTTGAGGCACAATATCTTCAAATAAACTGCTTGCAGATATTAATCACATCTAAAAAATAACATCAGAGCAACACACAGATTAGAGTTTGATTTAATAACTAGGTTCAATGGTATATGTCAAGTTGACATTTAAAAAACACAGTTTAATACAACTCTTCTATAGCATACTGGGAATATACTAACTCTTCCCCAGAGTAGAGGTCCTTGGGTGATGTTCACTCTTATCCCTGACATTCTGTAACATAAATACTGTGAAGTAATATATTAGATTTTAAGGTGATAGAGTGAGAAGAACACAATAGTATTCTACACACTCACAAATTCATAACAAAATAAAAGGTAAATACTCATAACATTTACAATCCTTTTGCAACTGATCATATGGTGATAACTAGCATTTGTATATCATATGCCCTTTGCCTTCGGCAAGTACTGCAATTGATTTTTTCCTGACTGGGAAGGGGTTCCAAATATTCATTTTTGAAGAGTTGGGGTTATTAGTTTTCCTTCCTGAATTGGGCTATTATAGATTTTTTGTTGACTTTAATAAAAAGGCATGGGCATACTTAGTGATGTGCTAACAGAGTTCCTATATCCCAGGCTTACTCTTCTTTTTAATGACCTATAACAGTAAACCAAAGAAATGATCGCAGTTGTGACAAGTGCTACAAAGAAAATGAAAACATAGTATTTGCTTCTTTTTTTTTTTTTCCAACTTTTATTTTACGTTCGGGGGTTCATGTGCAGGTTTGTTACACAGGTAAATGTGTGCCATGGTGGTTTGCTGCACAGATCCTCCCATCACCTAGATATTGAGCCCAACATCTATTAGTTATTCTTCCTGATCCCCTCCCTCCTCTCCCCACATCCTCTGACAGGCCCCAGTGTGTGTTGCTCCCCTCCGCATGTTCATGTGGTCTCATTATTTAGCTCCTATTTATAAGAGAACATGCAGTATTTGGTTTTCTGTTCCTGCATTAGTTTGCTGAGGATGGCTTCCAGCTCCATCCATGTCCCTGCAAAGGACATGATTTTGTTCCTTTTCAGACTTACTCTTTACATCAGCGTGTAGTAGCAACCCAATTTCCCTTGGTAATCATGTCTTGCATGATAAATCCAGTCCAACATTTCAATCTCCCTACACCTTTACATACCTTCCTCTTCAGTGTCCCAAGGCAATTCTGGTATTTCAGCTTCATTTAGTGCAGGCTACCCTTTGTTTCATTTTTAACTCAACCAGACAAACACAGAGCTGTATATAACCCATCGAGCTGCAACACTATATTGAGAATTTGTGCTTTGTGGGCCTGTATCAGTAAATTCATCTCGAGTGAACTTTATGTTCCTTCAACCATTCTTTCACACTATTAACTTACATTCTCACATGTATTCACCAGATCTCTGTCTGTATAAATTGAAAAAAATGCACACTACTTTTGGTATGTACTATGTTTTCCGTTGGTTCACAATTTTAATTTCTCTTTCAAGCCTGTTGGGACTAGAGTCTAGATAGAGTTCTACAAGTCAAGAGGTTTGGTGGAAGTAGATTCTGAGGATAATCAGCAGTGTCTTCCAATTAAAATACTTCAGAGGTGCTAGTACACTTTCCTTTGAAAAATCAGGATGAACTTTCTCAGACATGAATAGCAGGGTTGCTCCTACTGGCAAAGAAGATGCAGGAGAATTCAGAGGTTAAGTATCCTCAGCTTCATCAGGATCTACCCTACATGTTTCATTCCAATTTTCAGAATCTCATTCCTTCCCAATCAATTCCCTCAGTTTAGCAGAAGATACTTTGCCTGTTTGGGAATTCAATTTGCACTGTAATTCTGCCACTCTCAGGATGAGACTCTAGATTTGATTCTCTGACACCTCAGGCTGATGACAATGGGAGATAAATACATTCCTCTGGGAAGACATAGAAGGTTTCAGATCATTTATGTGGAACTTGAACTTGGAATTTCAAGCCCTAAGTTCATCCTTTTTCTTTACTTCCTCTACCACAGTTAGGAGCAGTCATCCTTATTACATTTATTAGTTTGACTAAAATATTTTAAGGTATCACAATTACTCAGAGATTTGCCTTTTATGAATATTTGATTAGGAATCCAGTAGTAACATTTTACAAATCTTTTTACCACATTGCACCATAGACTATCATTGTCTTCTTTACCACTGGAAAGAATACTTATGCCTTAAAATATAATCAATCATGTCAGAAACCCAATACCACAAACCCAGATCTAGTTTTTTGAACTGGATCTGGTAGATACTATCTCTACACATGGTGAAACCCTTGGAATTACACCAGTTGCTAGGAGTAGAAACAAGCAAAAACGTTGCTTAAGTACTCCAGAGATTTTGTTCTTTTTACTTTATTTGACAGCCTAGAGGCAGACTATTGAGGGCTTGCACGATGGCTCCATCATACTGTACGTCGTCCCCATTTTCCTGTTTCTTTTTTATCTTTATTGCCCCAAACTTGCTCTCTGGTAGGTGGTTTTCAAGAAAAACTTAATATTTAAAAGTTTGTACCCTCATATTTGCTTTTGCATTCGCAGATGGAATTAAGTTTCTTCTTAAAAGTTTAAAATGCATGATACCTTGTGGGTTAAACCACTGAAAAGAAAACATTAGATATCTGAGGTCGCCCTGGAAGAACCATAGTTCTAATTGCTTAATTCTGGGACAATTCTTCAGACAATTCAGATAAAAGGATGAAATAGCTACTATGCATACTCCCTGCAGATACAGGAAAGGACCCAGACCCTTGTCAAATCCGTGAAAGAACTTGCCTTGTAGTCTGCAGAGCTGGGTGCCTGGCATCTACTCAGTTCTGTGAGTTCTCATACTGCAAGGATGCTGCACACAGCCAGGATTATGTTATATACAGAGGTGTGTGTGTGTGTGTGTGTGTGTGACAGAGAGAGAGAGAGAGAGAGAGAGAAGGAGAGAGAGAAAGAGGGAAGTGTAAGGTCTGAATCACCAGTAATTATACCTGCCTGCTCCTGAGAGCAGGATGTGCAGGAGTGGGAATGGCAAGGGTAGGGTGGATGTCATAGACACACGATGAAAGAGAGCATAATGTAGATATTTTCCTCTAACTAAGCCACAAGGTTTCTTCTTATCTGGCAAAGTAACTGCTAGGGAACATGTGAAAAACAGAAGTAAAAAGAGACAAAAAGAGAAAAGAAGAGAAGAAACCAAGGATGAAAACAGCAAAAATGTCATCCTCTGCAAATGCAGAGAAGGAGGAAGAACCTTGAATCACCTATAATTACTCCTGCCTGCTCCCAAGAGTTGTGGTTTTAAGTTTCACCTAGTAATGAGGCACCCTAGCAGTAAGGTTTCTGGGGACAACAGAAGGACAGGAAAGTGCTGCCTAAAAGAAAGAAGACCATGTGCTGAATACTACCTTACAAAACATGGGAGACAAGTTTTGATGCTGTTCTAGAAACCAAACCATTGCCAGCAAAACTTGCTGCTTGCTTCTCTCCCAGTGCAAATGGCTTGAGCTTTCACAGTCACTGAGATATCCTAGGCAACAGGAGTGTAAACTTGAGAAAAGGCAGAACCAGAGTAGAGATTGACAGTGAGCAGAGCCAATCAGGCTGTGAGTCTGCAGCAGTAATCGCAGGCCGTCCAATTAATACTAAGAGAGTGGACCAGGGCCTCTGAGGAAGACAGGTAAGAGGGAGGAGGCTAAGGTGGCTTGGGAGGAACCAGTTTTCCTAGATGCAGGAGACAGCGTCCATAGTTTCAGTTTGAAGCAACTGGTGGCAAAAGGTTAGCATTTAAGGTAAATCAATTTTTTAAAATCTATTCTATAATTTGATGTTTGGTTTTTTTCTTCTTGGTGTGTCTTAGCCAAGAAAAGAAGACAGTAGATGGTACTCTCTAAAAAGAAAACCTAAAAGTCTTTGAGAGTTCTTGGACTAACGAAGCCATCACTAGGCTGTTAGTGAAAAGAGGAAAGAGCTTGGTACTGGGAAAGATTTTTGTAATCTTTGCAAAAAAATGCTTAGATAAACACGTACAAAAATCAATTTCATTCAGTAAAGGGGAAGGAAGTAAACATTACTGAGCAGTCATTAAGTACTAGGTATTTGAGCGTGAAGGGTTTGGGTGAATTGCTCTAACGATCTTGATGACCACTGATAAAATTGAGTTTCAGGGAGGTTCAGCATTTCCAAGACACAGAACAATAAAACATTTCAACTTTCATTCAGACCTTGCTTTGTCTGATACTTAAACTTATGCTATTTCTGCTATACACTGAAAACTGAGAATCAGAATAAAAATTAGAATGCTTATTAAAGTGTACTTACATGGCTTGTTCAAAATTATATCAAATATTTGATTTGATTCATCAGAGACTTGAGTGGGTCCTTCTTTACATTCTCAGTAAAGGACACCACCAATGACCCAGGCAGCCATCTCTATTGTCTTCAGTCTGAGGAGTATTTAAGCCATATTAAGTAGATGAAATTCTTTCCTTTTTTTTTTGACTTATTTTTTCCTCAAACCCTACAACCACAAAAATCTATTTTGTTATTAAAAGTTTTAAATATTGAGATTTGAATTTCAGGCATACATTTGTATTTATATTCTGATAGCAATTACCCAATAGTAATGGCGATGATAAATTCTGATAGCAATATAATAGCATCCTGCTAAGCCCTGATGATATGATGACAGGAAACACAAAATATACAGCCCTTGCTCGTAAGGACCTTATAGTCTGTCTAGCAAGGCAAGTAATTCTGAAAACAAATTACATTGTCATGCAATGTGAATGCTATTTGGACTTCACCACATGATTATGGAAGGATGGGTGGTACTTCTCTGGGCCAACAGGAAAAAGAAGGTATACCTGAAAGTATGACTACATGTACAAAGGCACAGAGATATAGAATGCTATGGTGTGTTTGGGGAAAGTGAGTGAGTAGAGATGCAGGATAGATTTTGAATGGATGGAGAATTACTAGAAATGGCTAGAGACATAGGAAGGGTCAATGCATGAATTCAGTGCTAAGAACTTTCATTTTACCTGTATACAATGTGGAACCATCAAAAAGTCTTAAACTAGATCGTGAAGTTCATGTTTTCATTTTCTAAAGATTGCTCAGTCTTCTGAAAGACAAAGCAGAGAGGGCAAAGCTAGGAGCAGGAAACCAGCTAGTAGACAGTTGCAATGGTGGAAATGAGAAGTTACCATGTCCTGGGCTGAGTCAGTATCCGTGGCAATGGAGATAAGGGGATGGAAATGCAGGATGTGTCAAGGTAGTGAAACTCTATAGGACTTAGCTGCCAATTGGATGTAAAGGGAGAGGAAGAGTCTAGGATGATAGTCAGTTAGTGATCCGGGTAAATGGTATTGCTGTTTCCTGAAGCAAGGAGTAAGGAAGATAGGTAATGAATTTGGCTCTGGAACATTAAACTGAAAGTGTCTGTAGGTCATCCAAGTGCACATGTTTTGTGAGAAATCTGGCTCCAGAGAGTGCCTACATTAGAATAAAGTTTGGTAGTCATCATTGTATCAGGGGATATGGCTGAGATTGCCACAGGATAGTGGAATAGTGAGAAGAGAATAGATAACTGAAGCCTGAGAAACAGCACTTAAGAAGCAGGTGAAGACAGGGAAGAACCAAAATAGGACAGATCCAAGAGGGAGGAGGAGAGACAGGAAATTAGATTTATAGCCATTGACAGAAAGCGTGTTAAAAAGGAAGAATGACCAATAGTCAACTCTTGGGAGATGTGAACTAAGGGCTAATGACTGTTGAAGTTGGCAAACAGTTTAGCAATGACTTATTGGAGAGTATATTTGTTGGAATGACAGAGTGAAGACCATACTGAAATGGACCAAAGTATGAATGGGGCATGAGAAAGTGGAAAGTCTGGACATTCTTTCAAATAGTTTGACTTTGAGGGGTGATAGCTAGAGGGAGTCCAGGACTGAGGGACAACAGCGGATTCATGAACTAAAGGAAGGAGCTGGTGGAGAGGAGGAAAAGGGCATAACTGATGGCTGAGAGTCTTAGAGGGTTAGGCTTCTGTGTTACAGGTAGAGAGGGCATCCTTAGATGGGAGGAAGTTCAGAAGTCTCTTGGGGGAGGGATGATGAAGTCAGGATGCCCTAATAGCTCTATATTTTTATAGATTTGGAGGAGGGTGATGTGAATTTGTTCATAACTTGTGGCTCCATTTTTTTCTGGGTCTTTCAAGGCAAAGTCTGGAGTGGCAAAGATTTGGATTAGCCTTTGAGGAGACTGGAATAAGAACCTGACCAACATCATAGAAAAGTAGAGTTGTGTGTTGCAGAAGGCCTAGCTGTGGTTAAGGAAGAAATGCAGTGACACCTGTCCCTGCTGGCATGTGGGTTTATTCAGCTGCAGTTCAGTCTGCCTTTAAGTACATGGAGCATGGGCAAATTGAACCAAGTTAGCTATTATTTTGAGAGGGTGGGAGATTGACAAATGAGAGTCAAGAAGGAAGGCACTGGTACCGGATGGTCAGAAAGATGCACAGAGTGTGTAAAATGGATAAGAAAGGAAGTGAATCCAGAAGGGAGAATGAGGTAGGTAATGTCTGGGGTGAAAATGTAGGGCCAAAAGACTGGAGGTCCCATAAGGTCAGAAGCAAATTGGAATAATGGAACTGAACAGTGCAGAGAAAGTCAATCTTGAATTTTGAACTTTCAGTCTGGGCACAGTGGCTCATATCTGTAATCTCAGCATTTTGGAAGGCCAAATTGGGAGGATTGCTTGAGCTTAGGAATTCAAGACCAGCCTGGGCAACATAGCAAGATCCTGTCTCTACTAAAAAGAAGTAAAAATTAGTTGGGTGTTGTGGTGCGCCCCTGTAGTCCTAGCTACTTGGGAGGCTTCAGTGGGAGGATCACTTGTGCCCAGGAGATTGAGGCTGCAGTGAGCTACGATGGCACCACTGTGCTCCAGCCTGGGCTACAGAGTGAGATCCTGTCTCAAAAAAAAAAAAAAAAAAAAAAAAAAAAGAATTTTGGACTTTCAGAGGAGACCAGGGATTTGGTTGGGAGAGAATGCTGAGACAAAAAACAGATAGAGTTGAGTTGGTAGAAAGCAAGGAGCTCCAGGAACTTCATAGCTGCCTGTTGGATGGATTATCTAGATGAGCTCTGGGTTTTCCCAGATTGATGACACTATTTGAAATGGAGAGGACATCTCTGAGGCAACATTCAGAGTCTCAGTGATTTATAAACTGACAGAACCGAAGAGGAATATAGGAAGTCTGTCCAGCTAGGCTGTGCTTCAAAGAAGGATGTGGGTATAGGTCATGACGTGGAGGTGACAGGCTGCATCTTAAAATCTGTGAGGTTCCTTAATACTTATAATTTGGGGTAAAAGGTGCTTTCATCTGAGAAGACTGCAAGAGGGGTAGGGTTCCTTAGGCAAAATCAGATACCATCCAGGATAAAGACATTGTACCAATCAGTGTCTTGGCAGGAAATTGATGGCACATTCAAAAGTAGTAACAGAAAAGAGTTTAATGAAGGACAATTCACAGAAGTGTGGATAGGGCTAAGCAATATAGAGAAAGCATAATGAGACACCCAGCAATGCCACAGTCAGAAGGGGCAAGAAAGGTGTTATCCATAGCCCTAAAGGGGCAAAAGGAGGAGTGGTTTTCATATCTCAATCAAAGCATTTCTGTAGGGAGGGCTGCCTTTGGTGAAGGATATGGTCACTGAAAAACTGTGGCTTGGCAGAGTGGAACCTGGGGAAATAAATACTCCAACCTCTATCTCCTCCTCTCCTCTGATCTTCTGCTGATGCCTCCAAATGGTGGAACACAGCTGGAAGCCAGTGAGCAGGGAAGTGTGGTTAACACAGTTTATGGAGGTCAACCTCTTGTAGCACAGATGTGAGTGGGGAATGGATCAGGAGAAGCACACGGCCTTACAATATTCATCTCATCAGTGACGACTGCTGTTCAGAGGTTGATCAAGATGAGGAGGCTTATAATTGAATGAGGAATAGAGGAAAATCTGGGTGTCTCTGGATGGAAGGTGCGCTTGGTGCCAAGAGGGCCAACCTCTGCTCGTAACTTGTGGAGGTGGTGGTGAGGTGCTCCAGAGCAAGGAGTGGGAGTGTTTAGCTCGTGGAATAACACTTTTGGCTTCAACTGTTGCTTTAATCTCTTGGAAAATGAAATAAGAATTTTCTTTGTAAAATGTTGCTCTTTATTCTGATATCAGACAGCTTTGGATAAAGAAAACATATCAAGGTTCAAAAGAGCAGTTTTCTGTATTTCAGAAGTCAACAGATTGGCATTTGGGAGAAGATGGCATTACAAGACACAAATGTAGAAATGGCCACATGTTGGCTTCTCACAGGCAGGTTTCCTAATGCCCATGAATGTTTGTTCAATTCATGATATTCTTTGGAGCAGATTGTCTCCCACATTTTTAGCCATAATTCCATTGCCACTCAACATACTGCTTTTCCTGCAGTCTGAGAATAATTTTAAAATTCTTGTATATTTTCTTGTAAACTGAAGTCAAATAGAATTAAAATTTCCCAAACTAAAAAGTATAGTTTGAGACAGCAGGACAGTCTTTGGTTGAGAGGTGGATGACAGCTCTTCTTACTTTCTTTAGAAGCTCTGCTTAGTGTGTGTCCCCTCTGCAGTTACCCCTCTAGCCTAGA